ATTTTACAAATGATGTAAATTATTGTAATAGATTTACTATACATGGCCGTCGCGTTATTGATGTCAGCTATGTGTTTGGGCGAATTTAATTTTCTGGCGTGTACTCCTGATGGGTTAATAGGATAAGAGGACTTGGTAGAAATAAAGTGTCCCCACAGCGCTAAGGACATGACATGCCACGAAATGTGTTGACCAAAAAAAAATAAAATGTATGGTGTACAATATCATTGGCGAGTTGCAGCTAAAAAGAACGGATATTTATTATTACCAGGTTCAGCGTCAACTGCACGTGGCAGATAAACAAAATTGTTATTTTGTAGTGTGGACACCCAAAGGTTCAGCATGTGAATATTATTCCATAGTCACACCTAATCGTAAATTAAAACTTTTCGAGGATGGTAAATAAATCGGGATTTGCACACATTATGAAATAAGGATTAAAAAACGAATTCTAATGTATTTACAATAATAGTCGAATAACGATTGGGTGTGAACATGTGTAGTCGTGTAACTACACGTCACTCTAACATAAAATTAAAAATTGTATTTTTGTTTTAGATATTTTTGTAGAAAAAATTTAACGCGATGACGACTTTTGGAACGCTAAAATGGAAAGCAACTTAATACATTTCTACAAAAATCATTTGTTGGATGAAATAGTACAGCCCAAAATTATATGCTAGGAATTTTTTTTATACGTTAATACTTTTATTATTTATACTAGGACTTGTATTTATTTATACAACATATATAACACGAATTATTTGACTTGTGATAACATATTTACTAAATTAAATATACTACATTGTATTTGCATAAATGCGTGGAGCGATCTAATACGAATAACGAAAAATGGGGAGACCTGGGTAAGTTGACGAACTGGGTAAGATGACGAATTGATAATAACTGATCGTAGATTATACCATCAATTGATATTTTACAAGAAATGTAAAGAATGATGTTAGGAACAACTAGTTTACCGATAAGAAATAATCCTGATAAAGCCAATATGTTTTTATTTGCGATTTTCTGTTATCACCATACACACTATTATTTTCCGTGTTTTGAAATAACGTTTTTTCGAAATAAGGTAAGTGAAATCTATTATATATTGTTTTAAATCAACAGAGTATAGTGTAAGCTTTATTTTCATGTATACTTACTGTCTATTACTTAAGTTTAAATAGTAACACATTAGGTTGGAATATTAAATAGTTACCAAGTTCAATATTATCTTACTATTTTGGTGATAATTATTTGATAATCAAGAAAAATTTAACTTTCAGTAAAAAGATAATTACTAAAAGTTCGTGATTCTCCGATCCCACAATGTTAGCTTTATTATTATTTTAATTTATATTAAAAATGTACGATTATTCGTTAAAATAATTTTTTAATTAAATTATTATTTCCATACCTATTATTCAACCTAATCTCCCAGGATTGAACCTGTGCATTTTTATTAAAATAACAAGTTGTTTGAAATTATTTCTTGGACACCTATCTGTAAATTTAACGAATTTTAGTAATTATTTAAAAATGAAAACATTTATAAATACAAATAGAAGAAAAAAGGGGGTTTAAAAATACTGTTAATGGACCTTTCATTTATACAGCCGACTAAAAAAAATATCTCCATGATGCCACTTCATCTTTCAATTATTCACTGAACAATTTTTATTTTTTTTTTCAAAACGCCGAAAATTTTTAATAATGCTAATTATGCCTGTACTCGAATTGCATCCAAATTTAGTTGTTTGAGAGGGTACCCTCAAGACACACATATCACTTACCGTTTTTTAGAAATTATATTCACTATTAGACTACATGCACAAGTATTCTACTCATTCTAAAAATCAATTGTGTTATTATATTTATCAACGGAACCCGTTGATAAATTGGAGGGTCGATGAATACTAGCGTTTCTCGCAGGATAGATTAATAAACTGCAATAATTGCCGGGACGACTTTGCCTGTCAAACAATTATTACTAGAGGGGTCGGCTGAGGTTTGTGTCACACACCAGCTTTGGCAATCGTCATTCGATCACGAAGACTTTTTTCGTTTGGCCGCGAATTTCTTTTGCACATTTTTAGTGAATTTCCCATCATAAAAACAATTCATCATGTTCAAAATCTATATTGTCTTATCGGTTGCAGTGCTATCGCTTTGGTTGGACATTGGTACCGCCACGGGTGGATCTGGGGTTCAACACGAATATACTCACGACGACCATGTTTATGCCGTGTTATCAGCAAACGTTGTCAACTTTACCATCGTCGATAACAACCAATACGTCGAAATTACATTGTTAGTAGAAGGCGTAGGTCTCACGAAAGATGTAATGGTGCGTACGACTTCAGCTTTTAAGGGGCGTGGATCATTATGCTTCACAGATCAACAATATAAGTATGCCGACTCCGAGAAAAACTCGTTTGAAATAGTAAGTCCGACATTTATGTTTTTAAAACTTCGAATATGAATAATATCGGCTTCTAAGGTGAATAAATATTAAGTATTTCTAATTATGATACTTTTAAAGCTTTATTTTCAAAGTTATGGTGGAAGTCTGATAAAAAATTACCTTTGTAGAAGTCATTTTATGGCATATCAATTGGATGGATTCCATTTTTGTTTTTATGTAAAACTTAATATTTTTTATTTAGCAATTAGAAAATCATCTGTCGTAATAGAAAACTACTTATAGACAAGTAAAAAAAATAAACGTTTATGAAAACAAAATTTGATGAATTCGGTTTAGGTACATACTCCAGTAAATGACTTGGCGTTTTAGTATTTATTTTTAAAAACTGATGCGTTCTATTATACTTTATAGTTAGGAGAATTTTTTTATTATAAGAACATTTAAGTTAAATATTTTTAATTTATTTAATTTTAACTTGAATATTGTGTTTTTACCTGGCGCGTTGATTGAAACGACATACACTTCTTGTACAATTAACTAGTTTTGTATTGTGTTAAAAAAAATATTTCACATCTATAGGCATTATCTGGTTTTTCAATTTTTTAGTTAACCGCTCGTTGTTTTAATAATATTAAATAAATAGAAACATGTAATAGCAAAAAATTCAAATATTGAAAGACATTTTTACTAGTTCAAAACAAAACTAAGTTATTGGCTACCTAATATTTAAGCAAACACTTGGAACGACTATAACGGTTTTTTAATTAAAATAAATTTGATAATCAACCATAAAGTTTTAGTTTATCAGTTAATTTTTTATAATAAACTAATTGGTTATTATAGGAACCCTCAAAATTGAACGAGGGAGAAAGTAGAGATTGTCTGGTCCCTGGCAGCGACGGCGGTGGTGCCATTAGACGTGATCGAGGACGTAGGCATTACAGTCGGCCTAACCCGTGCACAGCCGCCTTTAATGGAGCCACATTGAACGACCAGGTGGTTGTGTACTCTGGGCCGGTGATAAGGCCTTCGTCCTCGTCGCGGCGCAACCGTCGAGGTATCCGGAAAACCCCACGTAGTAAACATAAGTGAGATTTATAAATATTAGAAACATTTTCTTTTCTACATTTAATTTAATTGATGTTTTAGGCTGTTACCAGTGTGGGGTCGATGGCCACCTCGCCAGGAACTGCTCGGCATCAGGTCCGTTGGCAACTCATTCTGGCAGTCCTACACCAAGTCCTGCTGGGGTGTCTCAGGTATTGATGTCACTGAACGATCATTCGGAGTGGACGAGTGATTGTTCAGAGCGACGACGGAGACAGCAACATCTGGGACACCGAATGGGTCGACAACGGACCTGACGACCATTGTGACCCACCTGGATATTAACAATCAGACGGGAAATCCAGATGAGGCAGACAATCCACAACAGGAAGTCTAGACGAAGGACAGTGATCAAAATAATTTGTCCATAAGGTAAGATAAATTTATGTGCAGGATAATTTAATAATACAATTTCTTTTAAAAACCATTGAAACTTCATTATTTTTCTATTATAAAATAATAAAAAATTAACTATAACTTTAGAAAACATTCATTTATTTTCTCATATATATATATATATATATATATATATATATACTTTCTTGTGTTGATATTTACAATAATACTTTATAAGCAATAAGTATTGTATTTGAATTTTTTTTGTTTTTTAGTGCTCTGTCCTCCGGCTAGACTTCCTGTTTTTTTATATATAAAAAAAAAAATAGAAAAAAACCAAAAAATTATATTTTGTGATTTGTTAACTTATAATACTGAGATGTTAAATACTGTTAGGAATTTGTTTTATTTGTTTAAATTGTTTTAAAACACAATGATTTCCATTGTTTTCATGTGTTTTTATACAAAGTAGAATGTTAAATACTGTTCTGTTAGATCTCGTACCTATTTTGATTTTATTTACTTGTTATTTTCCTTACATTGATATTTTTTAAACTTATATAAGAATTTGTAAGTAAAATACATTGATTTTCATGTGTCATAATGTTTTCATATTTTCATAAATAGATTAAAAATAGTAGGAATGTAGTTTTTAGACGGGCCAAAAAACCATTTTGTAGCAAATTATCCAAAGTTTTAGATTAAATAATTAATGAGTATTACTGGTGATACTCAGTAGCTATTTCATAAAATAATTGAGTGCATTTTTGATACTCAAGGCGAGCGTGGCAAGTGTATGTGAGAAGCATATTTGATACACAAAGCGCTTGTAGCATGTTCAAAAAAAAAATTAAAGTTCGTCTAAACACAATAAACTGTGCACCATATAAGATACTCAAGACGAGTTTGGAAATTCTACTGAAATTGATAAGGCAGTTAACTTGTTAAAAAAATACAATTTTTAAAAACTCCATATAAGGTTATAGTATTATTAAAAATTAAAATCTAACAGCCGAACAGCTAGTGGCTATAAGCACTACTAAGGATGAACACTTTAAGGAAAGAGTATCTTATACATATTAAATGACTTATAAATCAAGAAATACTTTTTTAAAAACGAATTGTTTATTTAGGAAAATCACACGCTAGCAAACAAATTTAAAATTTGGACATTAGTGATCAAAATGATAAGCTCAGAGAGTTAACGGAAAAAAATAAGCAAAAAGATGAACAAATCGTAAGACAAATTTAAGCTAAATTATATATACAATACAAATTAACTATTTACGTGTTTTTTATTCATACAAATAGACATCACTTAAAGAACAAATTAAGGCACTGGCTCAAAAAGTATCCAACTTACAATTAGTAAGGCATTTCTTCATTAATTGTTTGTAAATAATTATTAATAGTTACAAAAACAATATTACAATTTTTTTTTAGGAAAACCCTGTTTTGAGCCTTAACAATGAAGAGTTTTAAGTGATTCATTGGGTTTAACAAATTGGATTTTATTATTGACCAATTAAGTTTGTTAAAATTAGGCAATAATGAGAAAAAAAACGTGAATATTGCAACAAACGTAAGTCATAATATTAACTTATAAATAAACAATATTACAATTAGTGAGATGAATGGTGGTGCCCCAAGTACTCGATCTTCAGCGAGTTTTTTTTTTCAAATTTTCCCACTCAATTTGAAACTTACATGCATATGTAAAATTTTCTCAGCTTTTAAAAAAACATTTTTTTTATTTATTTTTTGGGCAACGGGAATAATTGTTATAAACATTTAATAATACAGTGACTCATATGATGTAACTCCATAAATTTTTAGACGAACATTTTTTAAATATTTTAATTATGAATTATTAATTTGTTTCTTTTTTATATGACTGTAAAGATCTACACTGTCGCTCAAAAGTTTTTTTGATTTATCGTTACAATATAAAATTCAATATTTTTTTTATGTTGACAAATGGCTAAGTTTATATTCCACACCTATGAAGGTCGGCGTGGCGGTGGTGGCGGTAGGGGAGGTCGAGGTAGAAGAAGGGGCGGCGGTGGCACCGGTGAGCCGAAGGCACCATTTCGAGGGCGTAAGTTGTTACTATATCGGTTAACCGATTTTCTCATATTATGTATAACCTCAACTAACCTTATAATATATTTCAGGATGTAATCTGTGCACCACCCGGGGCCACCGGGCAGCAGACTGTCTCAAGAAGAAGGGGCAGGACGGGGGTAATCAAAAAACCTCTTCTGCCTCTGCTGAAGGGGCGAATTCCGCTGCTGCCTACGCCATCAATATAGACGACCCATAGACTTCACCTCCTCTAACCGCCCAGGAAGAAGAAACCACCGCCACCGATCTGGAGGAGGAGCCGTTCAATTAATAAAGTAAGATATTTTACTTAAGTACTTGAATAATATTCAAACCTGGGTTCTTTTTAATTAGGTACTTGAAACATTTACAGTAAAAAATTCAAAATATTTTTTTTTTTTATTCTGATACATTATACTATACTTTTAATTCATTAATTTTCCATTTTTTTTGGTTTTGTGTTTTCTTAGAAGCTATAAACTTGATTTTTTCAATGTTCGATTTGATTTTTAATAATCGCTTTATCCTTTTTTTTTTTTTATTATTACTAATTTACCCAAACATTTTAGTCGTCAATTAAAAGTTTGGAAGTCGACATTTTTTTTGACACCCCCTTATGAATATTTTACGAGTATTCTTATAAATTGTATTTCTGTATGAGATTTATTTAATAAATTTGCGACCCCCAAGCCCTCAATTACGGTCCTGTCTATGATTTAACTCTCAAATGTCTGATTTTTTTGTATATTTCTAACAAATATATTTCAAACTAATTTAAACTCACCTAACTTTTTGTTTATTGTAAAATAAATATAAGAAATGTGACAATATTTATTTTGTGTGTAATTAAAATTTACAAATGTGATTACTTGTTTAGGAAGGTAAAAGGGGAAAACAGAAGATAATAGAAGATAAAACGGAGAAGCAACACGGTGCAAAAACATAAAATTTACTGGTAAAAACATGTTATATGTAATAAATGTAAAATTAATTTGTGTTTTACACCAAAAAAAAATTGTTTTTCTGTTTTCCATTGTAATTAATTTTAATTTGCAACCTCATTTATGTGTAATATAAACTAAAAGTAAATACAACTTCAGGGAAAGGCTTCGGTCAATGTGTAAATAATGGAGGACGCCATTTAATTGATGTATTGTTTAAAACCAAGTAATTTTTTTTTTAATGTAAAATGGCATAGAATTTGTAACTCAAAAATAAAAAAAAAAATTTCTGGATCTTTGTTTGTTAGTTTGTAATTGCCTTTTGAAATCAGGGAGGTTTTTTTGCCGGACCCTGTATTTGGCATTCTCGTATTATTTTAAACCGTAAATCCCAATGTCCATTCCAATGGACATACCTGTAACTTCTAAGCATTAAAAATAAAAATTAGAATATCATATTCAAAGGTCATAAGTTCCAGATATGAACACGGAAAATTTTTTTTTCTTCAAAAAACTTAATTCGGTTATAAAAGAAGGTTAAGCAAGTAAAATATTTGAGGAGGCGAAGATTTGATAGGATCAACACAGTTAATGTGAAAATTCACAAAAAATTCGATTCTGAATAGCATACCTCAATTTATTGAAGGTTTACCCAAATTTATATTTCTTATTACTTTTTTCCAAGATAGAAATGAAAATTTTAATTTTAAAATTTCTTGCATAGAATTTATATTGATATATAATAATCTTATATTCAGATTGTACTTAATATTTAATAATATTATTACATTAATAATACATTAATTAATTATAATAACGATTTCATAAACAACATCTGTTGAAAATTAAAACGTTTAAAAATTTGGATTCGTTTCACATGTTCCATATTTTAGAAATTAAAAACTCATGATAGCAAAAGAAAATGTTTTTAGTTTTTTTTTTAAAAATAAGCAAGATATTTTTCACTGCTTTTTAAATTAGAAAAAGCTGCATTTAGCAGAATATATGTTTAAAAAATATTGAAGTTACCATAACTAGCCCAAGATTATAAAGAACAAAATTCAACACATTTGATTGAACAAAATGAGTGAAGTTCCATCCCTAGTTCCCTTTTAAAATAATATTTGTGAATTAAATATAAATTTAATGTAGAAACAATATTATAAATATTATAAAGTTTTATCGGCTAAACTACTTGTCAAAACTCAATTACAGTATATTAATATTTTATATAATTAATATAATAGTATATTTTGCGGGTTATTTAAATGGAAAATTAATAGTGGCTTTCGAATAATGCCTTTGCATATATCAGTTTTGAATAAATAGTTTTAAAGTTTAAAATTTAGGACGGGAGAAAATGTGGAGATTAAAGAGTTATTTTTATATTTGCGCATTTATCAACCCCTCTTCACCTTCCATCCTAAGTTTTAAACTTAAATAACTTCAAAAATAATTATTCATAGTTTGTTATGAACCAGGCAAATTTTTCAGTAAATTCTTCTTAGTTGAAATGGCAAATTAAATATATACGTCACCATTTAAGTTTTATAAGTTGAAAGATCACTAAAAATGATAAAAATTTGAATATTGTCTAGTAGTGTACTATAACATAAATAAAAATGATTCCAAAAAGTGACACTAGAAAATTGCAATTATTTTAAAAGTAACCTAGTGTAGGGAGTTAAAAGAATCACCCGGTTTATAACTACATAACTTAAGTATGGATTTAAACGGGCTACATTTCACTAGCACTAATAGTACTAAAAGTAAATGATTTTAAGTACAAGTCTCACGAGCAGTACTTATTTTGAATGTACGATAAATATTTAATATTCTGTCTCATAAAACTCCATAACTTTGTTGAGGTTTGGGCACTGTGTAACATTGGCTGAAACTAAAAAACCAATACACTTTATGTTAAACGTTTTTATTTGCCGTCAATTTAATAATATAACAAAATATAATATAATAATCGGTTTTCTCTAGCACACGCCCCAAATACATATACGGGTAACTTGAGTGGAACTAGTAATGAAGTAGTTCCGGTCTTTAGTGTAATATTTGATTAAACTTATTCATGTGGTACTTATGAGCCCGTATTATACTCCGATGTAATTGAATGCTTACTGGGCGATTTGTTATTTATATTTATATTTGTTATCTGAAACCGTCATAATAAATTTCCGTTTATATTCACATTATTACCAGCACCGCAGGTGTCATAAAGCGAGAAGAGGTCGCTTTCCCATAGCTTTTATAAATTGAAATTTAAGTGCTAAAAACAATAGGGTTACAACTTAAAAATATTTAAACAAGGTTTACTGGATACCATTTTTTTAATTCATAGAGAATCGTAAGAAATGTTTGTTTTAGGTTTTCGTTACTTGCAATAGAATAATATTAACTTAACTTCATGTTTGTTTATGTCAGAACTTTCCGTATGATCCCTAAAAACAATGTTATTAACTTGGACTATTAACTTAAAATACCGAAACGAAAATCTCTGATGATTCTTTTAGGTCTTCAATACGGGCGTTTTTTCATAAAAGGAAATCACATGAACACATAGTTAATAATTAAGCATATCTATAATAATAGTAGCATAATATTCATAGTAGGTATCCAAAACTTGGTTATTAAAACCAACATTCGTGATTTCAAAAAATGACATAGATCACTGTTTTTACAAAAACTTATTAACCAAATTTGATATTTAGGTGGTATGTACTTTTTAATTATTTTTAAACTATTTTATTTTTTTACCTAAATTTAAAAAAAATTAGTTGCTTTATTTCCCAACAAAATAACATTCGAATATGTTTTATATTGCTTTAGACAAAGGTAAAACTATGATTTATGAATGACAGATCATAAAAAATAAATTTAATTTTAATTGTTAGATTTATGGAAAAATTAAGTCATTTGTGTTTAGTTTATATTATTATATTAACCACTTTGTTATCGCCCTTGAAAAATTGTGTTTAGAGTAGATAACCAATTATATATTATATTTTTTTCTGGTGACGGGTAGTAGTGATGAGAATAATATAATGTCACGTTCTCTCTCCTTTCTTTGATTTTTTTTTATGTTAAACAATTGTGTGGAAAATACATACACATATAATAGAGTTTTTAAAATGTTTACCGTATTAATAAAATTATCACGCAATAGATTTTATTAAAATAAAAGATAACACGCTCTAATTTTGTACTTAAAAATTATAAATAAACATGAGAAAAACAAATATTTGGGGAAAAAGGACCTCTTGTCACAAAAATCAAATTTTAAGTTATTATATAGTTGTTTTTAATTCTAATTTTAAAAATGTTGAGACCAAAATCATTCTCCTATCTTGTTAATTGGCCAAAATATATATAAACTTTTTTTCGGAAAAAATGGTTGTTTTAAGAAAAAAACTCTTTAAGTTTTGTAATGTTGCCAACTTTTAATTTCCATACTAAAGGAATGAAACTTAATCAAAAATTAAAATAAAGTGCCCTTAAGCAGATA